TGTTGGACAAAAGTCAACATGGTTTCTGTAAAGGGAAATCCTGTCTTACTAATCTATTAGAGTTCTTTGAAGGGGTTAACAAACATGCGGACAAGGGGGATCCAGTAGATATAGTATACTTGGATTTTCAGAAAGCCTTTGACAAGGTCCCTCACCAAAGGCTCTTGTGTAAATTACATGGCCATGGGATAAGAGGGAAGGTCCTTTCTTGGATTGAGAACTGGTTAAAAGACAGGAAACAAAGGGTAGGAATAAATGGTAAATTTTCAGATTGGAGAGGGGTAACTAGTGGTGTACCCCAAGGGTCAGTCCTGGGACCAATCCTTTTCAACTTATTCATAAATGATCTGGAGAAAGGGGTAAGCAGTGAGGTAGTAAAGTTTGCAGATGATACCAAACTGTTTAGGATAGTCAAGACAGAAGCAGACTGTGAGGGACTCCAAGAAGATCTCACCAAACTGAGTGATTGGGCAACAAAATGGCAAATGAAATTTAATGTGGATAAGTGTAAAGTAATGCACATCGGGAAAAATAACTCCAACTATACGTACAGTATGATGGGGGCTATTTTGGCTACGACAAATCAGGAAAGGAAGGGATCTTGGAGTTATCGTGGACAGTTCTCTGAAAACTTCCACACGGTGTGCAGCGGCGGTCAAAAAGGCAAATAGGATGCTGGGAATTATTAAGAAAGGGATAGAAAATAAGACCCAGAATATCTTACTGCCCCTGTATAAAACTATGGTACGCCCACATCTTGAATACTGTGTACAGATGTGGTCTCCTCACCTCAAAAAAGATATTTTGGCCTTGGAAAGGGTTCAGAAAAGGGCAACTAAAATGATTAGGGGTTTGGAACGGGTCCCATATGAGGAGAGGTTAAAGCGACTGGGACTTTTCAGTTTAGAAAAGAGGAGACTGAGGGGGGATATGATAGAGGTCTATAAAATCATGAGTGGTGTGGAGAGGGCTGATAAAGAAAAGTTATTTATTAGTTCCCATAATAGAAGAACTAGAGGACACCAAATGAAATTAATGGGTAGCAGGTTTAAAACTAATAAAAGAAAGTTCTTCTTTACACAGCGTGTAGTCAACCTGTGGAACTCCTTGCCAGAGGAGGCTGTGAAGGCTAGGACTATAATAGAGTTTAAAGAGAAGCTAGATAATTTCATGGAGGTTAGGTCCATAAAAGGCTATTAGCCAGGGGATAAATTGGTGCTGGCGCTGGCCACTGTCGGCAGACAGGATACTGGGCTAGAAGGACCTTTGGTCTGACCTGGTATGGCCGTTCTTACGTCCATCTATAAAATGGGGATAATGATATTTACCTCCATTGTCAAATGCTTTGAGAGACACAGGTTCCAAAAGCACTGCACAGGATCTGGGCATGGGTTGGAGGGGTTTTTAAATATGAATGATCTGACGACTCAAACATTATGTGAACCTGGCCCTTACGTGTATGTGTGCCACCATGGATTTTCTGTTTAGAGAGAGACCATTAAGGATTGCATTTTCTGCATTATATAGAGTTATACCCTACAAACTTCTTCTCTTTACTCCACAGGCATCAAGCTCAAAATGAGCTTCTCACCTTTTATGTTATAAGAAAATGAGAGGAATCGGAAGGCTGCTTTCCGCCTTTACCAGACACGAAGGTAGATCAGTATTGATAGCTCTCTGCCTCCATTCAATCAGGAAATGACTCGTATCCATTCATGTTAAAATTATTAAATATTCAGGGCCAATTTCAGCTGTCACAGTGGTGTAGATCTGGCATTACTCCAGATATGCACTGGTGGCACCAATAAAAGAATCTGGCCTTTTCTTTGGTTCTGACTCGGAGCTGATATTAATGATTCAGTATCAGTGGAAATAATCTTTGCCTATTACCCACTTATGCGTCTGTCACATCTACAGCTAGACTTATGGGGACTTTTTCCTACCAGAGCAGAATTAATGACACATTGATACTGGTAGGTGTCTAACATGGACACCTCATGTAAATGTAGCTGGATGAATTTAGTCTTGTGCCAGCATAGTGGGTGGCTTTAACATAGGGCTGAATTTGGCCTATTAGCATAGAAATGCTATGATAATTAGAGGATAATGGATTGTTATAAGCTACAGGTGAGGCCTGAATCCAACAGGTATATACATCCAATGAGTTGAAAAAAAAAACCCTCCAGCTGATTACCCCCTAAATTTGAAACAAAAGACAGGACTATGTAGCACTTTAAAGACTAACAAGATGGTTTATTAGATGATGAGCTTTCGTGGGCCAGACCCACTTCCTCAGGAAGTGTATTTTGTTTCAGCTACACCAGACTAACACGGCTACATTTCTACCCCTAAATTTAGTGTGTCAGCAATCCCATTGACTCTAGTGGCATAACAAGCATTTACAATATACCAGGTGCTTTGGGTGCTTTTTTAAAACCCCTGTAGGAACCTTGCTGTGTCATTATGAACGTAAATACGCTTCAAAAACTCCCCCTTTAAGGCCTGATTTTTCGGAGGCATTGAGCAGACACAGTTCTAATGGAAGCTAATGGGAACTGTGGGTGCTCAGCACCTCTGAAAAATCCAGGGCTTTGGAGCGGAGCCCAGAGCTGGAGTGCGGAGCAGTGGAGCTGCAGGTTTTTGCCCAGAGCTGGAGCGGAGCCAGAGCACAAAAAAAATCTTGACTGCTCCAGGTTTTTTTTTTCATTTTCAATCCAAAATGAATGATATTTTAGCAAGAAAGTCCTACAGGTGCCAAAAAGTTTCAGATTGTATAACAATTGATATTAACATCTACTTTACCACTTTACGTAATATGTCACAGTTATTCTCACTTCGGCCAAAATCAAGATTTAATGTACAGATACAAAATTCCAAAGTTTTTTGGAGATATGTTTTATTAAAGAATCAGATAATTATCACAAATCCAGCAACACTGCAGACTGCTCCCACCCTTGTGCCAAGGTTAGGCGAGTAAGTACTTACGTAGATTAGTTAGATCGGGGTTCGGTCAGTTTCAGCAGTGTCTGAATCTGGACGCCAGTTCCGACTTACATACAGATTCAACTTAAGAACAAACCTACAGTCCCTATCTTGTACGTAACCCGGGGACTGCCTGTATTCAACTAAGTTGTTTCTGGTCCTCCCAAAGCCCCCAGTGCCAGCACTAGCAAAGCTTTTGATATAGTCACCCACAATATTCTTGCCAGAAAGTTAAGGGACTATGGATTGGAGAAATGGACTGTAAGATGGATGGAAAGCTGGCTAGATCAGGGTTTCCCAAACTTTTTACTTTAGTTGGAACCCGAGGTTTTTTTTTTCAGTACTGTTTTTTGCAGCCCAAAAATATAAACACATATAAAAAAAGAATAATTTTCAGTGTTTCACCTGGATGCATCCTCCACCCAGCCTGGGCCAGGGCTTGGGGGACCTGGCGCCACATGGGCACTCCAGGAGGCAGGAGCAGATTGGGGGTAGGGTAACTGGCTAGGAGGGAGGGTGCAAGGAGGGGTAGCGTTTCCAGGTATCCAGTTTTGTACTGGATAGTCTGGTATTTAAGTCTTCTGTCCGGGAAACAAATTGAGAAAATACCGGACATATAAAATGTCCAGTATTTTCTAATTAGGTAAGTTTTATTATTATTAGGTGTATCAGTCCTTAGCTGCAAACTGCCTGGCTGCTAGATGTGCTCAGGCTGTCTGAGTGTGTCTACTAGCCAGGCAGTTCGCAACTACTTGAGGGAGGGTATGTGGGGGTGGGGGGCAAAATGGAATCCCCGAGGCCAAACTCACTCATGTACCCGGGTCAGTCCCTCTCTCCCCACCACTTCTCCTCCCGATCTCCCCAGTCCAGCCCTTCTGCCCCTGCCCAGCCTTGCTTCCGGCAGCTGGTTCTCCTGTCCTCCTCCTCCTGATCTCCCCTGGCCAGCCCCCCTGCCCCATCTAGCCCTGGTTCCGCCTCCTGCCCTCCATGATCTCTGCGGGACAGCCCCGCTGCTCCCAACCCTGCTTCCACCAGCCCCCCGCC